GATTGGCACTGTATCGATGACCTTCATGGCAGCGATCATTTCCCCATCCAAATCAAAATCTCTTCTCCCCAAACTTCCCCCCAAACTGACTGTTTCCAGAAATTCACTAGTAGCATCAACTCTTCTTCTGACCCCAAAAAAATTTGGGCTAACTTAAGAAAGCTGTCTGGCTTTCCTACTTTTTCTCCCATCTCTTCCCTTAACACCCCTCGGCGCAATCTACCATATCCTCAGGACATAGCTTTAGAATTCGCCAATAATTTCTGTAATGCCCCCTCTGATAACAATTTCCCCTCTGAATTTTCTTCTAATAAACTATCCTCGCTCTCCCATACTCTCTTTCCCTCGAATCATCTATCTCCTTCAGCTTTATGGCTTGACTCTGATATTTCATTACTAGAACTGCAAATAGCTCTATCCGCGGTTAAAGGGAAGACTCCTGGTATAGATAAAATTTCCCACCCCATCATTAAACACCTTCCTTCCCCTCTCCTCTCTCGCCACACAAACCATTATAACAATATTTTCCAAACTGGTATTTTCCCCCAACTTTGGAAAACATGCGCCATAATTCCTATATTAAAACCTGGCAAACCTTCTTGCGAGGTCACTAGTTACCGACCTATTTCCCTAATACCTTGTCTAAGTAAACTTATGGAAAAAATCGTTGCTACTAGGCTCTCCAAGTATCTTAGTTTCAATAATCTTATCCACACTAATTATGTAGCCTTTAAAAAAGGCCAAAGCACTATCGATGCCCTCCTACACCTTGACCATTTCATATCTGACGCATTATCCAACAAAAATCACGTCTCGCTATTGTCACTGGACTTTGAAAAAGCCTTTGATCGTATTGGCATACATGTTGTCCTCAGGCAACTTATGAAATGGAAGGTTGGCCCTCGCATTTATAACTTCGTTAAATCTTTTCTTTCCAAACGCAAAATCAAAGTTCTCATTTCCAATATTTTCTCCCCCACTCTTCCTCTTGATAATGGCGCTTCCAAGGGATCTCCTCTTTCGGTTATACCATACCACCATAGCTTTTGACGAAATCAGTTCTTTATTGTCCAACTTCCCCAATATCCGTCATCAAATCTACGCTGATGACATTCTCCTATTCTCTAAATCGTCTGACCTTATTGTGACTGTTTCTTCGTTCGAGGAAATCCTCTCCCTTTTATCTTCAAGGTCCCGTTCCTCAGGCGCTTCAATTTCCTACACCAAATCGAAATTACTACATATTTGTAGAAAAAACAATTGTATTTTCCCTACCCAACAAGCATTTCAGTAAATGTTTTTAAAAATAACTTAAAGTAAGTTTGCTATAATAAGCGTTAAATAAGCATTTTTAATATTAAGCTTATTAAAAGTTTTTTTCAAATAAACCTTTAATAAGTTTTAAGAGCGAATGTTTATAAATATCTTAAACTTATAAATGAAATACAAATGCCAACGACATGAAGTAGTAAATATGACATTTTTTCAATCGTAAGTGACGTGTTTTCGTTTTTTAAAATATATTATTAAAAGAAAAAATTAAATAAAACCGATGCGGTAAAAAAAAAAATCCAATCCAGAACCCGCTGCGCTAATCGGTGGAGCATTCGAGTCTTCAAATTATGAGTTCTCCTTATCCTTTCTTAGTTTAACATTCAATTAAAAATGTATTAAATTTTTTTCAGAAAAGTTCATCAATGAGAATGGCGGCGATGAAGCCGAATATATAGCTGCATCGATGTCGTTTTTCCAATTTGCCAATAACCGCATGTAATTGAAAACACGCAACAAGATGTAATAATTAACATTTGTATGCTTAATTTTTGTGTGTTATCGTGAATTTGTATGCTAAAATGTCTATTCCCTATTTATATTTTCGCGACTGTAGATGAGTCCGCCGAAAATTCGCATTTCTTTTAGTTTCTAGATGTTAAGTATGTATGTGTATTAGTTTTTAATGAAATATCTTCAAATAAAGCGTTATAAAAATGTTTATAAAAAAGCTTTCTTTTGAAAATTTTTAGTAAACTTATATTCATACGCTTATAAACAACTTTTTTTGAACCTTTATTATAAGTTTACACTTTTACGCTTAAAAAAGCTTTCTTATGAACATTTATTACAAGTTTATATTTCTACGCTTATAACCCACGATTGAGAGAATACAAAGGTTGCGCCGATCTCGGACCGCTATTCCTCTCTTAACGAATTTGACAGAATCGTTGTTTGCATGACGTCACACTGGTGCAACTTGTTAACATTTTTCCTTGCAAAATTTTTTCTTCTTCTTCCATTCTTGCTCACGTTTTGGCATTTCTCTCTCGCAATTGCACCAGTGTGACGTCACACAAAAGTTATTCTCAAAAATCCTCTCTGATCGGCGCAATCTTGTATTCTATCATTCTTGCTTATAACCAATGTTCCTTTTCGATTATATTACGCTTACTTTCAAGCGTTTTATAAACAAAAAAAATCAATGTTTTGTAAGCTTAATGTTTATAATTGAAAACTTAAAAAAAAAACTTTCTTTAAGTTTATTTTGCTTGTTGGGTACTCATTTAAACAACATTGTCAGTATCTTAGAGATACTTGTTTCTAAAATAAATATTGTAAAATACCTGTCATGCAAGCGTTCGCTTATTGGCACTGCTTTGCTGGTTAACGTCGTAAGAGCTATTATACTTTCAGTCATCAACTACGCTCTTGAAATTTACGGCCATCACTCAAAAAGTAATTTAAAAATGCTTGCTGCCCCGTATCACACTGCTATTCGTAGATCCCTTCGAGCATTTCCTACATCACCCATAAAAAACATATTGGCGGAATCCGGATTACCTTCCCTTATGGATAACATGGAGGAAAGCATCTGCAAACTTTACCCAAAACTTTCCATCGGCTCCAATCAGACGCTGCGAAACACGTTCTACACAGCTACGACACGTAAACGTGCTCCAAAAATACAATCTTCCATCTATAAATGTGCCACCTTTGCCAAAATAAATGACTTGCCGCTAAAATATTCCTCAACTGCGTAAAATTCGGAACCCCCCGTGGTTTGTTTCAAAAACATCTTTTTTTTGATCGTCTTACGCTCCCGCCTAAATCCAGTACTTCTAGCGCAGTCTACATCTCTGAGTTCCGTGAAACTATGGCTCGTCTTAAACAGGATAACTGGCGGTTCGTCTTCACTAATGGTCAAAGGCTACACAGACGTATTTTGCTGTTGTTAGCGATAATAACGAACCAATTACATAAGGTCTACTTTTTTCCTTTTTGCTTCATCTTTACAGCCGAAGCAACTGCTATTTTCCAAGCTGTTCAATATGCTACTAAAAATTCAGGAAAAGACATCATCTGCACTTATAGCCTATCCTGTTTTCGTGCGATATATAATTGTAACAACTCCAACAACATCATCAGTAGCATTAGGGACGGCCTCATCTGCTGTCCAAAAAAAATGAAGATAATGTGGGTACCTAGCCACATTGGCATCGACGGGAATACTTTTGCGGACAGAATGGCAAATGATGCAAGATTCACCCCAACTTTTACATCCAGCTTGTTCATCAAAAGCGACATATATCGTGTTATTAACGAAGAGAGACGTTGCAAGTTAGCCCTTGATTGTGTCGATTACAACTACCACTACGCCAGAATCCATCCAACCCGGATCAAACCACACTATCCATCTTCCATTCCAACAAACATGCTCACACCGTTCATACGGCTTCGAATTGCACACACTATAGTCACTCCTTCTCGATAGGGGCCGAAATAATAATTGTCCATTATGTGACTCCCCATCAAGCGGTCTTCACCTAATTACAATATATGGATTCCTAAAAGACACCGACCTACTCAGAAGGATTTAAACCATTGTTATACTTTCCGGACAGCTGATAGCCTCTGATGCTAGCTTTGCATGACAATTTAGTTTATATATTTGTTTTTAACATTGTATAAGCTTATAAAAAAATAAAAATAAAAAAATAAGAAAAAAAATAAATAAAAAAATAATAAAAAATAAATAATCACCCTCATTGCAAGAGTCGTATCGAATGAAAGTCGTTTTTCGAGAGTCGAATCGTATCAAAAATTTCACGTCATTGCCTAAAATTTCCACTCGACTAGTGTATTAAAACGGAAAAACTTGGCAGCACTGCCAAGTTTTCGACGATTTTCGTCGTTTACTTATTTCAGCACGACAGTAGGCAATGCCAATGTTGTCGAGTCGTACAATTTAGCCTAATTTACGTCTTGCGCAATGAGGCTGAATATTTAAATTAATCGATGTATATTTTAATCAAAAAGGTAAGTTATTTTACTATGTCGACTTCAGTATTGAAATGATATGTTTGAGACCGATTGGAGAATCACATTGGAGTTCCAACGGAGAACTAGCATTTTCTCAACTTGAGAAACAGCACAATTTTCATACAAAGAAAAATGCCCTTTTTGTTGAGAACGCTATGATCCTCCAATTGAGGTACTGTTGAGAAACAACGTTGGAGATTTGAGAAATACCTTAGTTCTCAATTAAACTCAAGTTGAGCTCAAACCTAAATGTTTCTTGGGATATTTCTCTCATTTCGCTTACTTCATTTTTTTGCTGTATCTTGTTATTGCACTTGAGACAGAATTTCACTGCTTGCTGCCTATGCGTGCTACTATTTTGCCATGGGCGATCTCGTGCTCTTGCAAATTTGGAATAGTATTTTTGCATTCCATAGAATCCGAACTACATGCAACACTCCGAGAATACCCCTTATATGTTTTCAATTGACGATAAAAGCCATTGAAAACTGGCCTTACCACATTTTTTTAAGGATCGTACTAATTTTTTTATAGGCCAAATACACCGCACAGAAAGTCTGCGCATCGCGAGTACTTTCACCGCGCTGCGGATATCACACAATACGCCATACACCATACAGACATTTAAAAAAATGTTACATTTTAAAGAATTTCAACAGAAATTGATTATCTTCCACCATGTTTATCCGCGCAGGTCTACACTTCATGAAAGCTAATCAATTATGTCAAAATTCGGCGACCAATATCAAAATTTTTGGAGTTTACACAGACAGTATGTGAGACCATCTGTGCAAACATAAAGCGGCGAAATACACGACGAGACAGTCTGCGCAGACATGTTGTGTGGTGTATTTTGCCTATTATTTTTAATTTAACTCCACTTCGACCTGTGGAATAGTTATCAGATCACTATTCTAAATCCATCGTGCAACATTTGAAGACTTTGTTACAAAAGGACCGCCTCCATTTTTTACTGCAGGGTATGTGTGGCCTACATATAAATGTACGCATATAAATATAATCTTAAAAATATACTATACTATAAGCATCACATATGCAAATATTTTATGAATGTAAGGAATACTGTTGCACTTTCCTACTTAATAGTTTATCTGCTTGAAGATTATTATTGTTTAGTGTACATATTTTTGTTTGTGTGAATAACCTAAATATGCTTATAATCCTAATGATGGAATTTTCTTGCAAGTTATGCGGGGAATTATTTTTAACAAAGCCTTTTTATCATAAGGTTTGAAAGGTTTCTTATAAAGATCTACATAGACTAGTCACTAGTGTAAAAGACATGCCATCATTTAATTTTTCTACTAGACTAGCTCAATCGTATTCATTTTTACTTACATCGCCTTATTTCTCTAATCGTGGACTAACGGGAAAGAATAATTGCACATAAAACTCATTCCTAAGCATTTAGATAGTAAAAACAAAAAAAAAGATGGCAATCTCTACCGCTAAACTTAAATTATAGTAGTGGCTCAAAACGTACATACCCTGCCGCCACACGGCACTTTGAAGCAGGATTTCTGATTTCTCCTTTAAGTTTACAACTAATCTGGATACAAATAGTCCTGTAGTATGTTTTGAAAAGCTATCTTGATTTTGCCTCGATCGCGTCCATTTAATTTTTGTATATCTGGTAGTAAACTCATAAGGAACATTGCATCCGGATCTGTTTTGCAATCGCACAACTCCACATGCGTCGAAGCTACTGCAGCAGGCGCAGCGGCTGCCGGTGGTGCAGTTATGAGCGCTGTCGCCGATGTTCCTGCCGAGCCATGACCACTTGCTGTCAAACCGCTAGCTCCAGAGCCAGCTGGTACGCCCACAATTTCTAAACGATGATGCGTACTATTGCTACCGCCAGCACTAACACTATTGTAATTATGATTCTGATGGGCATTGCTGGTGTGGCGTTGATGTTGATTTAAAACGGTCGAAGCGGATGCTACTTGACTGCTTACATTTGTTGTGCTACTTGCATTCAAGTCGGCATCAATATTTATTTGTGTGCTGCCAACGCTAACGCCAGTTCCTACGCTGAGACCCACACTGCCACTATTACTTGTTGTGGTGCTCACTAATTCCATTGGTTTCGCAAGTGTTGGTCGCACGAATGAAACGTTTGTATGCGATGTAGCCGAGCTAGTGGCAGTGGAAGGCATGCGTGTGTGTCCGCCAATAGAGGTGCCAGCATTGGTGTTGGGCTGTCCACCGCTACCAATTGTACTGATGCTACTGCTATTGCCAACACTTCCGCCACCAGCACCTCCCCCACTATTACCATGATTCAATTGAGTGCTACTTATGCTTTCCTGCGAGCGTGGCCGTTTAATGCGTAATTCTTCTTGATAGGAACGTGCTTGTAAACGCATCAGTTGCTGCACACGCAACTGTGCACGCCTTTCCTCTAATGGTATTTGTGTGCTGCTACTAGCATAAGAATCCATCATGAAGTTGCGCATTTCCATCTCTTCCAATTCATTATCTTCTTCATCTGGTCGCACCAATGACTCTGGCTCATAATCATCAACGTCCGATTTAACATCATCACATTCGGATTTTATGTCATTATTGAGTGTGTGTATGTGCTGCTCGGTGTGTCGAAAACGCGACCGTTGTTCATCATCAATAACATCATCTAAGTCATCGGAATTGTGTTCCGGATCATCAAAATATTCCAAATAATTATCAAGTGGCTGATGATGTGGCTGTTGAGAATGCAAATGTGAACCGTGTATTTCTCCGGTAGTGCTGCTGCCACCAAGTGTAGCCACCGCAGCTGTGCGCTCACGCTGTAAACGATCAGATAGGGAACTAATGCGTACCAACGCATCTTGTACTTGTGAATCCAGCGATTTAGGTTGTGTATGTTTTCTGGATACAACAAATAAGTAATGAAGACTATTAGTGCGAATTCCACGTGAAAAAATATTCTCGAAAAAACTATTAACCAAAACAAATACAATTTTTGCAATTTGTTTTTGTTTTGCCTATTAAAACCATAGAAGCAATTTGTTCACTTGGAATTGGCGATAACCCTGAATATGTTTACTATAGTAACTTACTTCCTCAAATAGGGATGCAGGAAAAACATTCGATCAAAATAAGTCCAGCAAGGCGGCACTTTTTCTTCCAAATAATTAGTGTATTCCCGTCGAAAAGATATACGCAAATTTGTCCATTTTGCAAGACTAGCGCCAGCTAAAATCAGTAACCCAGTGTTTATATATTCTAAATCTTATCCCCTATGCATTTCCATGTTACTTACGATTCTTTTCTAACTTTTGATCGACCTCACGCCAAAAATTCTCTACATATGGCCGGCAAAAGTAATATTTATGACGCGGATTATAGATGGCTTCATCATGCTGCACCATATCGATCAATTTAAACACTTCCTCCGTCAACCAGCGCGATGAGGAGCACGAAGGCGTCACCGAAATATTTACATAATAGTCATTTGCCATTTTAATCGTAATAACTATTAAATTTATAAATTTTTATTAGATTTGCCGCTGTAAAAATCAGTTGAACAAGTTGAAAAGAAAAGTCGCAAAACAAGCAACTAGAGCTGTCAGAGAACGTTAAATACAGAGAAGCAGCACGACGGTAGATGTGTTCTTAAAATATTAATTTCACTGCAATTTGTAATATTTATTCCGCATAAATCTGTGGTTATCAAAAATGTACTGCTATCAAAAAATATTCATTTCACACAGCAGATTGGCAAAACTGTCTCACCATAGTAAAAATATTATTCAGCAGCTCTGCCCATAGAACTTTGTTACCGATTCACACACGCCCTAATTCAAATATCTGAAATTACAGACTTTAACAATTTGTAAAGTATTTTTAGTTCGATGTTATAAGAGCCATAGCAGCGAAATCGAAATATACCCACTGGGAAAATAGGTAAGCACCTTACGAGGTAAGCCATGTTTTCTTTCAGTTTTTAGTACCAAAATTGTCATCATGACCAGCGTAATCTACTAGTAAAGCACAAAATGAACACCTCCGGCGACACATTACGTTGTCAGTTGCAAAATAACGTGCAGCCGAAGTTATTTCCAAGCACCGAACTACTCCGAGCGACTGCTCTGCATTACACGTAACTTACTTTGTAAAGCGACTCAGAAGTATGTTTGATAGCAAATGTACATTCTAAATTCCTACTTACATAAGGCGGCCATGCCTTTGTAAAAGTAAGGGACGTTCGGCAGGGAAATGGTAATGACTGCCAGGTGAAGAGTAAGTTGCTAATAAGGTATTATTACGTGCTCCTAATTCCCACTGGGTATGCACC